GATGCTGTATTCAGACTTGCTGGGGGCGTCCCTACATTGCACAAGCCCCTCCAGTGCAGCAGGAAGGGGCTGTCAACGAACCCAACTGCAACCTCACGTTTTGCCATCCCCAGAGGTGTCCACACCCCCGGTCCCTTCACACAGGCACATGGCTCCAATGGGCAGTCCCTTGTCCCCCTACCTGAGCTCCTCAATGATGCCGAGGGACAGTGAGTGCTCCCGGATGCGTCCCACCTCATGCGGGGGCTGCCCCACCAGCTCAATGGTGGTGACGTGACGCAGGTCCAGCCCGCAGGCAGCTTGCTGTGGGAGAGAGGGGACAGTGAGAGAGTGCTGCTGGTGGAGGTGGGAAGGGGGGCAGTGGGAGGGTCTCCTCACCTGCAGCATGGAGATCTGCAACTTGTAGTAGCGGTTAGAGGGGTCGGGGGCCGAGATGATGAGCAGGCGGCGTTTCTCGTGGAACTGATCCAGCAGGCTGGTGGCTGAATTCACGTCTGTGTTGATCTGCATGGCTGGGGTGAGAGGACAGCACATGGGGAGGTGCCATTTTGTCCCCCATGACCCTTTCCCCATCCCATCACCCCTTCCCCACCCCTTCACCCTGCCAGGCAGTATCCCCCTCCCAAGCACTAGTCATCGCTGTGGGCAGGTCCTCCCCTGCCCCGCACCACTTACGTGCGCAAAGGGGCTGGGAGCCCGTCCACTGCTGGGTGGACTGGCAGACCCGCAGGGAGGTGCCCTGGCGCTCATAGCCCCCGTCGCACAGATACTCGCAAGTGGCACCATAGTTGTTGCCGTCGGAGGTGCAGGAGAGGTAGCCGTTCTGCGGAGGCTTCAGGATGGGGCAGCGCCTCACTGCAAAGAGGGAGGTGGGGTGAGGGCTGGGGGGCCCCAGCTGTGGGGTGCAGAGCCTGGAGCAGGGGCGGGTGCAGCTGGCAGCCCCAGGGGAGCCCACTTCACCTTGGACACGGATGCTGAACTTGCAGCTGGCTCGGTTGTACGCCTGGTCATGGGCAGTGTAGTGGATCACGTGTTCTCCTTCGGGGAATTCGGAGCCGGGCTCTGGGCCCCGCAGCATCACCCTGCATCCAGCGGATGGGTTTCTCCATCAGGGCCCTGGGAGGGGGCACCCAGTATGGCCCCCAGCCCTCGCCAACAGTGCCCGCAGCACCTCCACCCTCACCTCTTGATGATGCCATCAGCAGAATCCTTCACACGCGGAGGGCCCCAGTAGACGGTGGC